TTGAAGTTCTACCACCACCATCGTCAAGATAATACAGTCCACCWGCTTCATGCCCTCCACCAATCTTCATCCCCATCTTGAGATCTTGAAAGACACACAGAAGGATAAAAGGTAATTGAGTAGTTAAGTGATTTGGTCAGCTTACTGACAGACATAAGGTTAAAAGGCAATTTAGGAACATACAGAACTGATGAGAGGGATACAGGATCTAGGTCAACATTACCAACACCACAGATTGAGGATGTGGAACCATTAGCAAGGGTGACAGATTGTGATGTTGAGCAATGAGATAAGGATGAAAACACACCTGGAGTTCCAGTCATGTGATTGGAGGCTCCAGAATCAATGATCCAGGGATTGGGTGTGGATGCCAGACAAGCCATACCTGAGTGAGCAAAAGTCATCGTGTTCTGTTGTGATTGGATAAACCTCTCATATTCATCACGGGGAACACTCACCATCTCCTTCACGGGACCATATGTGGGTGTAGGAGGTATCTGATCAGATGAATGATTCTCCTGTCTAAAGCTGGAGCTTGAATCACTGGTCGTGGCATGATTGGCCCAGGTTGAGGGTGGACCATGTAGATCAWAACAATAGTTAATGGTATGTCCATCCATACCACAATGAGTGCACTTCCTCGGGCCTGAGCCACGTCCTCTACCATGGGCTCCCCTTGAATCTCTACCCCCAATACGACCACCACCACAATTATAAGTAGGCCCACCATTAGCACTTCGGCCATACACAGAACCACTACCACCACCATGACCAGACTGAGCTTCCCTAGCTCCACCTCAAGTACCACGGCCTCTCGATACAGCAAAGGCAGATCTATCTGAGATATTAGAGTTCTCAATAGATCCGATAGAAATCCTCCAGAGTCGAGCAAATACCTCTTCCAATGAGGGAAGAGCTGATCCTCCTAGCATCTGAGCCCGTACTGGTTGATATTCAGACTTCAGTCCCACCAAAAATCTAGTCACATCAAGTTCTCTCTGTTGCTGCTGAATCTTGACATCAGAAGTGAGGGGGTGATAGACATTCAACTCATTACGTATGTTTCTCATGTTGGCATAGTACTCCTCAAGACTCTGATTGCCCTGTTGCAGGTTAAAGTACTCTTGATACAGCTGATACACTCTAGTTGTATTGTCCTGACCCGAATACAATTTCTTCGCATGGTCCCACACATCTTTGGCAGTGTCAAGAAACATGAAGTTTACACTAATCCTGGGTTCCATACTATTCCACAACCATGTGATGATCTGAGCATCCTCTTGCTCCCAGTCTTCATACTCATGAGAGTCAGTGGAGAGTTTCTCCTCTCTTATGTGTTTTACCTTCTTCTTTGCCTTCAGAAAGACTTCAACGGATTTAGTCGAAGGCACATAATTCTCTCCATTTAGTTTAATGGAGGTCATTTGAACAATCAGGTAGTTTGTAGGCACCATAACACTAGGTTTACAATCACTGTTATCTCCCATTATGTTATCACCGATTCTACACACTTGCTGAATTCTATTACCACTGAATTCTGCACACTGTACACAACTAGATCACACTTGTCACACTGGTTTCAGCACTTGTTGTTGCTGAAAAGTGTGCTCATTACACCACAAACCCTACTCCTACGACTACCTGAAATCTCACCACTATATGATTATAACTCTTCCTTCGAAATACACAAAAATCAGCATAAACCCTAGCACATTACTGT